GGATGGCACAAATAACAGCTGCAATCTCTTGCTTTATGAAGAATTGGGAAACAAAGAAAATTTCTCTATTCACACTGCCTGCAGAATCCTCTGAAATTTAGGGATCTAAAACAAATTTTGGGATGAAAAACAAGCTGTCACATACCTTTACAGACATTAGGGCTTAAAGTACTCTTTGATCTAAACTTTTGAAACATGGAGCTAGTGATGAGCTAGAAGGTAATGTGCATTATACAGGAGTTCCAGAATTTGCGAATTTGAGTTAGGAAAATCCTCTATCAGTATAGAGGAATAATGACAGCAACAAATGTGAACTCTGAGGAATTTCTTGACGAATATACACTGATACCCAGACTACTTTATAATGTGTCAGTCAGGCTTGCAAGAGGTACAAAAGAGTATGGTGCTACGGTAAATTTGTAAAGGCTGAGTGATCAGATAAATGTCAGGAGGAAGACAGTGTCCACTGCTTGCCTTCAATATGAATTCTAGCATTTTTCTTTGTATCTATAAAATAATGAACCCAATTTTTCTTTGTTGTTGTTGTTGTTATGTGCTGTCGAGTCAGACCTGACTCAAAGCGACCCTTCCTTGGGTTTCCGAGACAGTGTCAATACAGAAGTAAATTCCCCAACCATCCTTCCAAGGCGTAGCTGTTGGGTTTGAACCGCCAGCCTTCTGGTTAGCAGTCAAGTGCCTTAGGCATTATGCTACAATCTCACCACTTTATGGTCCTACCTCAGACACAATGCCAATTCATTTGACACAGTTTGATTGCTCTCAGTATTATTATGTTGTTAGCTGTTGTCAGAGATCAGGCCATTCTGATTCAGGTTTTTACTGCCTGATTTTCATGAATAGATCACCAGGCCTTTCTTCCTGGTCCATCTGCTAAAAGCTGTTGAGAAACATACCAACACCTACATTTCCACTGACAGACAGATGGTGCTACCCATGAGATGCGTCGGCCGGGCATCCAAACTTTAACCCAAGTCTCCAGCATGGAAGGCGAGAATGCACTGAACCAACAATGCCCCACTTTCAACCTAGTGAGCAATAAATAAGGCCTATACTTTCATTAGCGGTTCCATGTATTTATTTTTAATTCCTGTTATCCAACAGTTCACTTATCTCAGGTATACTTTACACTACCCTAACTTGGAAGTAGAAAACTCCAAAAACGAAACACCACTATTTTATTTAAGAAAAGAAACAAGTACGTGTGCCAGTCTCCCCAGCTAGCACTCTTACATGGGAGATTCTCAAATATGGTTTCTTCCTCTTCATCTCATTTTTGGATAAATGATGGTGTTTGTCACATAAAAAAATACTTCCTGGTGTTTTGTTTGTGTGCATGTCTGTATTTTAGCACAGTACAGTTGCTTTTCACTTGGCAGGATTTGAAACATCATTGAAATTTTTATGAAGGCAGACTGAATAATATTATATTATCAGGGAGAGACGTACACCATTAGCTGCATTTAAGCAAATAGCTATTACAGTCAGAGCATATAAAATGGAAGTTCACAACCTTCAATTCTAGGGAGGGTACCTTTTGCAATTTCCAAAATGGAAACAGTAAACTTATCAAATTTGGCTGTAAGACAAATGATACCTTAACTGATCTCTTTAAGTAGGAGAATGGGACAGTGAGGATGGAGTTTGGGGGAGTCAAATCCTTAGTAATTATTTGAGGAAAATGCACATTTCACCATGCAAACAAGGCACTATGGACAAGTACAAGAGACAGGCTCTCGCGCAAGGGTCTAACATTATTAGAATGGAGGGCTACAGCTATAATTTCTTTATAACAGTGATAGACACTTTTTAGGAGTAAGTGAAATTAAAAGGAAAATTTGGAGAGCAGTAACTATTGTTAATGGCTAAGACTAAATGAGGAGAAAAAAGGTAAAGAAGTAGAGATGGGAGCTGGATGAGACTGAATTGAAAGCAATTTTGTCCAGGACCAAGCAATATAGATTTATGCAAGAGAAAATTTAAGAAGAAATTTCTGGTTACAAAGAATAGATATTTCTTGAAAGAAATTAACAATCATCTATAAGAAGACTTTAGCAGGAGGGGAATGGAGTAGGACTAGGTGACTTCCCTCAAAAATTCCTATAGTACCATGTCTCCAGTATCCATATATCTATACGTATATTAAAGTCTAGTTTTCCCCTTGAGTCTCTTAAAAAGGAAAGACTAAGTAAATTAACATGAAGTTATGCAAAAGAGCTCAGGAATATATTATATATAAATTGAAATACTATAAAGCTCCCAGAATAGCATATGTAATAAATTATATAATAAGTGTATGAGGGCATACACATTATGGGCTTCAGATGGAAGCACATGAGAGTGACATGAAGAAAGACAAAATAAAAAAAAAAATTGCTCTGAAACCTGGTTCCCAGCTTAAAAAAAAAAAAGTACATTGAGCCCTCAGAAAATTATCTTTAAATGGGCACCTGGGTATTAAAAGTAAATAGATGATGAAAGAAGAGATTAATTTAATGTGCTAAAAAATAGTTTAGTGTTGTTAATTCTATACAATAATGAATGAAAACAAAAGGGAATGTCTTAAGCAAAATGGCATTAATAATTTCTCTTGAAATGGTAAACTTAAGATAATTATTCTTCTAAGGTGCGCAGCATGTGAACCATACCCACAATGTATATCTCAGTGCAAAGTTCTATTTTGTAAATAAATTAATGCAAAATGGCTAGTATCTTCTTTCTTATTTAAATAGGTAAAATAATTTATAACCACAGACATCTACTAGAAAATTTTTTTTTAATACCATATCTTTAACATATTAAAAAAAAGCAACAACTCCATAAGGGTCCTTCCAATGTTCTTTGTACAGATTTAAATGCTAAGCCATGTGATTTGTCAGTTATATTTACAATCAATAAACTTTCCAATCACTGAGTTTAGAAAGTACAGTATTGACTGAACTAAACTCTCTCACAAAATAAGGCACAACTACATGATCACAAGTAGTAAACACAATACAAATAACGAATCCAAAACTTAAATGAGAAAATATTCATGCAAAAGTATCTACAGGAAATATGAATGTATGATCAAGTTCAAGAAAGTACAGAATGTCGTATACATACTCCATCATGTTACAAGTCATTCTACACAGAAAGAATTTAGCTATTTCCAATCCTATTTTATACAACTTTACAGAAATTTAGTAAGTTTATACACAGTATTCACATATGCAACAATAACAAACTGATCATTAAAATTCAGGCAAAAGGCAATTAAGACACAATAATGTGTGGCACATTGTAATTACAGAACCCACTCATCGTGCTCATGTCCAGGAACACTAAATTGATGGCACATTTAAATCTTATGGATCAAATCATCCATGGTTTTATAGTCAAAGTGCATTTAAAAAAAAATAATGCTGTACTCAATTAGGTCATGAATACTAAAATATATGATCATAATTTGCTCTCCAGTTACAAGCTAAACATTTTTATGCAAATGCAAAGTTAAATAAAAGTGGCTTTCAAATTCTCAAAATTACATAAAATAATCACAAAGACTTTTTAAGAGAGATAGGAAACTAACAAATCTGGCTGATACTATTTAACATGACTATGAGGAAAATAATGATCTAGCTAAATCCACATTAAGAGGTAGTTGAACAAAATGTTATTTGTATACTACATTGAGGTTTTATGTCTGTTTCCCTCTTTTTGTCTTACAAAATGAACAAATCCTATACCAGCAACATTGCCATCTTTGTATTTTAAAAAATTCTGCAGGTATAGTTTATCGTACACTACCTCAGCAAGACTTGATTTTAACTCATTTGTCACTGCTGGGGTTGGAATTTACTAACACATGACACCGATAAGTTTTGCATTGGAGCCAAGAGCTGGGGCCCTGTGCATGCCAGCTCTAACTCACCAACAAAATAATAGTACCAACAGACACCTAAATGGTATAGCCAATAATCACTCAAAGATAACCTTCTAATTGGAAAAGAATAAAAATAAAACCCTTTTTGTTTCCAGAACACCTTAACTTTATGAGAGTTAATCACAAAAAAGTTAGATATCATTTATAATAGTTATCAATATAGTAGCCCATGATAAATTATCCAGGATCTGTGAAATGAGATTGATTAGAGGAAAACTAGAAAAATCATTCAAATGCATAGTTTCCTTTGTTGTTCCCTACAATATTTTTTCTGAATATGTGGGTTAGGGGAAAGGAGGTGGTGGTGGCAGAGAGAAGCCTTCAGTGCATTTAATCACAGGAGATGAAGCAAACAAATATTCTAATACAGAAGAATTCTCATGAAGTTTTATTATTATTAAAAAAAAAAAAAAGTAAAAACAGTGGAACTGTCAATGTCTGGGTTTTTCCAACATACTCATTAAGTTACTTATATGTAAAAGTATGGAATTAAGACAATTTGAAAGGATTTGGAAGTATATGAAAATTCATAAATCATTTTAGAGCTTACTTTCTATTATCCAACTATAATTTTAATAAAGAGTCATCATAGTTCTTCATTATTTATGCTTAAGAATATACATTTATCTAAGTCCAGGGATGCAATCAGTGTCCTTAATAATTACTGACAACAAGGTTTACTTAAATGTTGGTTTTCTTTTTTAATAATTAAATGAATATATAGCAATCTCTTTTACTTAATGTATGTCATAGGCACAGTTTAAACATGATGATTTTAATTCCACATGACATTTGAAAGCAAGTGCATATTACAAACTATTTATTGTAAACTCTAAAAAGAATAATAAACCAGTATTAATGCTGCTCTCTGCAGGTATCTTCCACTCTTCCAAACAGAGAATATAATAAATTAAAATTCAATTCTGTTATTCAACATACAAATACACTAATCTTTGATTACCCTTATGGTGTTTAGGCATTCATTCTATTTCAATTTTCATAATAACTTTGGGACTTCTGAATATATTTATTTTTGGCAATATTTTCCTCTCTAGCTGTAAATTCAAGGTAATTTCACAACATTATTTTTGCAAAGTTAAAAGATTTCTCAGTTGATATGGAGTGTGAAATTTTGAATCAATTTAAATTTAAGTCAGTTTTAGAACTTTTAAAAAATTTTCCCTCACAGATAAGAAGAAAATATAAAGTAGAATATTTAATGTCTCCTTGGTATTTTTTAATTTTGTTTTTACAGATAAGACTGTAGCAATATCAATTATGAGACACAGAATTTTAATTACAGTGAAGCTGAGCATACTTGGAAGAGTTAAAACCAAATTACAGGGAAAAAAAAATGATCCCTTAAGAAGAAAACAAACTCCATTCCTGAAGATAATGGAGAGACCAAAGGAGTTAAAATATGAAGGCTAATCTCAGAAGACTTTCCACTTACAAATAACAAAGGATAGGATCATTATACAGGTCTGTTATTCATCCTCCAATTGAGGATGAAGGTGGGAAGATTTGAAGAATTCTTAATAGAGAGTATGACAGGGTTTAAAAGTAAGATAGAAAAAGAAAAAGAAAAATAATCTTTAAAATATAACCCCAGGATAATCATAAAGTAAGTAAATTAATTTTATAGAAGTTCTCATAAACTCCATCCAAGAGAATTTAATCCATATTATTAAAACAAAAACCATATTTGAATTCATGGTTAATATATATTTGTAAATAAACTGTATTTAGAATACCCAAATAGTAAATTTATAACATAACAGTGCAATTGATCTATGGACGTATATATAAGAAAAAAAGAAAGGCAGTTAGAAAGTTTTATAGTTCTGTGCATGACTTCACAAAAAGAGTATTTTATATAATAATGTGTTATTGTGCAAGAAAAACACAACAAATAATAACACAATTCAAGTACATTTTTATACCTTAAATATGGAGAAAAAAGACGTAAGCTATGGAATTATATTCATGTTATTTGTGAACAATGAAATTATATTTAAAAAAATACATTGCTATTTTCTGTTCAAAGTTTATTTACATTTCATTGGCTAATTCTAAACTTGGCATGAAAGCTGTCCCAGGGGTTAAATGGATAAACGTAATGAAAAATGAGCCCAAGTCTCACAAAAATAGAAGAGTTTTACTTGATGTTGATAACATTCCAAAATATATGAATTCTAATTTGGTCTAGTATTGTAACCACTGTCCAAATCAAACAGTAGTCCAAGTACTCGATTAAGTGCATTTATTAAAAACCTAACATTAGTGTAGTATTACTCTGATGTTTGATAACCAACTATCCTTGCAAGTCATTGAAACACGCATCACAGACACGAACAGGCTTCTTGGAAGAAGGAGTTAAGGCATTTTTGGCTGAACACTCAGCACAGAAGATATTTCCACACTGTCTGCAGTGATGCTGTAAATGAAAAAAGTGAACAATTTCAAGCATAAAAGCTACAGAGAAAACTTTGAGACTACATAAATATCACAAACTACACTGTGAAAGTATATTAACTTTCAAGTAACTGGTGAATTATTTAATAATATACAATTTCAATATGTTAATTTAATCCCTTAACAAAAAAACCAAATTCACTGTCATCGAGTCAATTCCAACTCAGAGTGAAACCTTTTGGGTTTTCAAGGAGGTAAATCTTTAAGGAAGTATATTACCCCATTTTCCTTCCATGGAGTGGCTGGTAGATGTGAACCACCAACCTTCTGGTTAGCAGTCAAATGCCTTAGGCACTGCACCACCAGAGCTCCTTAATTTAATCCCTTAGTGATATTAAAAGACTCCCAGGAGGCATTTCTTCAATATTATTAATAAATCATCCCCAGCAGATTAAAAAAAAAAAAAAAGCCATTCCTATTGATCAAATGTTTCTGCCAAACGCCTTTAATAGGATATAAACTTGAATTCTCACATGCTGGTATTATTTAGAACAGATTTTTTTAAAAAATCTCTGCTTTCTCTCCCTTTCAAAGAACTCAATGATGGCTGAAACATGATACACCTCCTCCCGGAGCACTGGTCTAGAAAATAATTATGACACAGCATGACTCAGTAGTAAGGTAAGACCTGAATTTAAGACTATACAATTCAAACACTTACACTAACTAGAAACCAGACTTCATGAAATTTAATTAATATATGTAGTTGACAATTAAAGTTTATCAATAAAGGGGAATTTTTTAAAATCTGTGAAAAGCAAGACTATTTTGATGGTTAAAATATTCATTTTTACTGAGGAATAAAATGCAGAAACATAGCTGTATGAAACAAGTCCATGTATAAAACAAGTTCATGTATAAAACAAGAGCCAAAATATGATCTTGAATATATCCCTCCTGAATTTAGACATCATCTAAAGAATAGATTTGATGCACTGAATACCAATTACCAAAAACCAGAGGAACTGTGGGATGACATCAAGAACATCATTCATGAAGAAAGAAAAGGTCATTAAAAAGACAGTAAAGGAAGAAAAGACCAAAATGGATGTCAGAAGAGACTCTGAAACTTGCCTTTGAATGGGGAGTAGCTAAAGCAAATGAAAGAAATGACAAGATAAAAAAGCTAAACAGAAGATTTCAAAGAGCAGCTCAAGAAGACAAAGTCAATTATGATAATGAAATGTGCAGAGACATGGAGTTGGAAAGCCAAAAGTGAAGAACATGCTCAGCATTTGTCAAACTGAAAGAAATGAAGAGGAAATGTAAGCCTCGAGTTGCAAGACTGAAAGATTTTATGGGCAACATATTGAATGATGCAGGAAACATCAAAAGAAGATGGAAGGAATACAGAGTCACTGTACCAAAAAGAATTGGTTGATGTTCATCCATTTCAGGAGGTGGCATATGATCAAGAACCAATGGTATTGAAGGAAGAAGTCAAAGCTGCACTGAGGGAAATGGCAAAAAACAAGGCTCCAGGAATTAACAGGCTCCCCAATGAGATGTTTCAACAAATGGATGCTGCACTAGAGGCACTTGCTCAGTGTTCTGGTTACCTAGTGCCATTCTGACAAGAAATATACCACAAATGGGATGGCCTTAACAAACAAGGGTTTATTCTTATAATTTGGAGGCTTTAAGTCCAAGTTCAAAGTGCTGGGCTCTAGGGGCTGGGTGAAAGTCCCTCAACCTTGGGGTCGAGCTCTGCCTCCTGTTCCTGGCCCACTGGAGCTAGAGGCGTTTCTTCACTCAGACAGCTGCTGGCTGCTGAGGCTGAGAAGCCCCAAGGTTGACAAGTAAAAAGGCACAGTCTCAATGTTACCAAACCACATGGCAGGCCATTAACTTAAGTCCATTGTAAGTCCCAAGGTCGGCAGAGCATAGCAGGCTGCTGAGCAACGACATGGCTACATGCAGGGTCCAAGCATTCCATAGGCTAGAGACCATTCTTAAGGCTTCTCCTTATATACAGGAAGCAGACCACATCCCAACGGCAGCTACTCAGCTGTTTGTGATAGATCCTACCATGGAGTTGACTGCCAGTCTCATCATGGGGAATAACTACCACCAGCTGCCCCACCACTCAACCAGGCCCAGCCAAGTTGACACACAAACATAACTACCATACTTGGTTATGCCAAGAGATTTGGAAGATAACTACCTGGCCAACTGACTGGAAAAGACAATATTTGCACCCATTCCAAAGAAAGGTGATCACACAGAACATGGAAATTATACAACAATATAATTAGTATTGCATGCAAGTAAAATCTTACTAAAGATAATTCAAAAAGGGTTGCAGCAGTATATTGACAGAGAACTTCCAGAAATGCAAGCTGGATTCAGAAGAGGATGTGGAACAAGGGATATCATTCCTGATGCCAGATGAATCTTGGCTCAAAGGAAAGAATACCAGAAAGATGTTTACTTGTTTTTTATTGACTATACAAAGGTATTCGATTGTGCAGATCATAACAAATAATGGATAACATTGAGAAGACTGGGAATTCCAGAACATCTAATTGTGCTCATGAAGAACCTGTACATAGACCAGGAGGCTGTCATTAGAACAGAGCAAGGGGACATTGTGTGGCTAAAAATCAAGAAGGGAGTGCCATTAGGATTGTATCCTTTCACCTATTCATTCAATCCGTATGCTGAACAAATAATCTGAGAAGTTGGACTATATAAAGAAGATTAGAGGAAGACTCATTAACAACCTGTGTTATGCAGATGTAACAGCCTTGCTTGCTGAAAATGAGGATGACTTGAAACACTTACTGATGAAGATTGAAGACTACAGTCTGCAGTATGGATTACACCTCAATATAAAGGAAACAAAAATCCTCACAACGGGACCAATAAGCAGCATCATGATAAATGGAGAAAAGACTGAAGTTGTCAAAGACTTCATATTACTTGGTTCTACGATCAACACCAATGGAAGCAGCAGTCAAGATATCAGACGTCCTATAGCATTGGCAAATCTGCTGCAAAGGACCTCTTTCAAGTATTGAAGAGCAAAGATGTTTCCTTGAAGACTAAGGTGCACTTGACACAAGCCGTGGTATTTTCAGTTCCTCATATGCATGTGAGAGCTGAACAATGAAAAAGGAAGACCGAAGAAGAGTCGATGCTTTTGAGTTGTGGTGTTGGCAAAGGTTGAAAGTACCGTGGACTGCTAAAAGAACTAATAAATCTGTCCTGGAAGAAGTGCAGCCAGAATGCTACGTGGAAGCAAAAATGGCCAGACTTCATCTCATGTACTTTGGTCATGCTGTAAGAATGGACCATTCCCTGGAGAAGGATATCATGCTTGGCAAAGTGGAGGGACAAAGAAAAAGGGGAAGGCCCTCAATGAGATAGAATGACACAGTGGCTACAATGATGGGTTCAAGTATAGCAAAGGCGGTAGGGCTGGCACAGGACTAGGCAGAGTTTCATTCTGCTGTACATGAGGTCAATATGAGTTGGAAACGACTTGTCAGCACCTAGCAACAACAACAACAGCCACATGAACAAAATCATTTACCCGTCTCACTGTTACTGAAAAGCCTTTCCCACAAGCCATACAGTTTTGTACTTCATTGTCTTCAGCCCACTTTCTATTCAATGCTTGTGTATGTTTTATCTGTATAAAAAACAAAACAAAAAACATGTTTCAATAGATCATAATATTCAATATTTTAAACAATTTTAAAACATTATTTCTAATTTGGTGCCAGAATTATATAAAATTATTTTACTATACGCAACATGGAATAACACTTTAAAAATCACAAATTCAGGTACCAATTGTAGCTACATTCTTAAGTCTGAGTGACAAAATAAAAGTAAAAGTAAACCAAATTTTATTCCTCAAAGGCATTGGTGATTCTAACCCTTGGTGATTTTCCACTCAGCCTCAGGACACTGAGCACATACTTTGATCATTTCTTGAATATATATTGATTCATTTATTCTTTAATATTCTTAAATTTTATAATTGCTATCTATAAAAAAAAAAAAAAAAAAACACTGTCATTGAGTCAATTCTGACTCACAGCAACCCAACAAGCCCAATAGGGTTTCCAAGGCTGTAAATCTTTACAGAAGCAGACTGCCTCATCTTTCTCATGTGGAGAAGCTGGTGGGTTTGAATCAATGACCTGTTAGTTGGCAGCCAAATGCTTTATCCACTATGCCACCAGAGCTCCTAATTATTGTCTAGTACTGATAATTCATGAATGTCATACTCTCTAAATTATGTCTGGAGTCTCTCAGACAGGTCCTTTATCTTTTATATTTAATCACTCATAAGATCTACAATGCTGACACAGATAGTAGCTAATCAAAAGGACTTATTAATTATACGAGATTTAAAAAATAAAAAAAAAGAGAAAGTATGCTTTTCACTAAGAGGTAAGTTCTAAATTAAGACATTGTCATACATCACCCAGTGACTTACCTGAAGGGACTGATTCTCTCTGCCCAGCTCCTGTACTGCTGCAGTCGTATTATCCAGCTTTCTTTGCAATTCTACTACTTTGGTTTGAAGCTTTTCTATTTCACCTTCACCTTTAAGACATCTGGAATAGATTGCAAAAATTAATTAAAAAAAAAAAAACCATTAAAGATCCATCTAGACTATAGAAAATTGACTACGGTATTGACTTGAAATACAATATAGTAATTTCAAGTATCTGATTTTTAAAAAAATATAATTTATTGAAATATAATTTATGTACAGTGAAATACACAAAATTAAAATGACATGGGCCAATGCTTTTTTTTTTTTTTTTTTTTGCAGTGTACCCTCCCCTTTCCTCCCACCCCCGGTAACCAACAAATAAAGTTTCCTTCCATATATAAACCTTTCCTTGACTTTTTACAATAACGAACTAATAATACTGTATTTGTCATTCTGTGATTGACTTATTTCACTCAGCATGTCCTCCAAGTTCACCCATGTTATGTGGTGCTTTGCAGATTCTACATTATTCTTTCATGTTGCATAGTATGCCACTGTGTGTATGAACCACAGTTTGGTTATCCATTCTTCTGTTGATGGGTACCTAGGTTGTTCCCATCTTTTTGTATAATCAATAGTGCTGCGATGAACATGGGTGTGCATATATTTGTTCTTGTCCTGGCTCTCACTTCTTTAGGATATATACCTAGTAATGGGATTTCTGAGTCATATGGTATTTCTAATTCCAACTTTTTAAGGAATCGCCATATTGCTTTCCACAGTGGTTATGTAATTTTACAGTCCCACCAGCAGTGAATGAGAGTCCCAATCTCCCATATCCTCCCCAGCATTTGTGATTTTCTGTCTTGTTGAACTTTGACATTAGTGCTAGGGTGAGATGGTATCTCATCGTTGTTTTGATGGCATCTCTATGATGGCTAAGGATCATGAGCATTTCTTCATGTGTGTTGGCCACCTGAATATCTTCTTTGGTGAAGTGTCTATTCATCTCTGCCCATTTTTTAATTGGATTCTTAATCTTGTTGAGGTGCTAGAGTTTTCTATAAATTTTAGAGATAAGTCTCTTGTCAGATATGTCACTGCCAAGTATTTTTTTTCCAGCTGTAGGTTCCCTTTTTATTCTTTTGAAGAAGTCTTTGGAAACACATAAAACTTGAATTTTTAGAAGGTCCCATTCATCTAATTTACCTTCAGCTGTTTGTGCATTTTGGGTTATGGCTGGCAGTCTATTTATGCCATAAATTATGGCCCCTAAATTTACCCCCTCGGAAGGAAGGTTGGGCAATCCTACTTCCATAGTGATACTGCCTCGGAGACCCAAGGAGGGGTCGCTATGAGTCGGGGCCGACTCGATGGCACATAACAACAACAACAACAACAAATTTACCCCTATTTTTTCTTTGAGGAACTTTATAGTTTTAGGTTTCACATTTAAGTCTTTGATCCATCCAAAGAAGTTTTTACATATGGTGTGAGGTATGGATCTTGTTTCATTTTTCTGCAAATGGATATCCCGTTTGCCAGCACCATTTGTTAAAGAGATCATCTCTTCCCCATTTAATGCATTTCTACCGTTTGTTAAAAATTAGCTGACCATAGGTAAATTATCTATTTCTAGGTTCTCAATTCTGTTCCACTGGTCTATGTGTCTGTCATTGTACTAGTATCAGGCTGTTTTGGCTACTGTGGCTGTATAATCAGTTTTGAGATATGAGGGTGTGAGGCTTCCTACTTCATTCTTCTTCAGTAGTGCTTTGCTTATTTGAGGTCTCTTTCCATATAGAATTGTTGTTGTTGTTGTTATGTGCCATCAAGTTGGACCCAACTCACAGCGACCCCTCCTTGGGTTTCTGAGGCAGTATCACTACAGAAGTAGACTGCCCAACCTTCCTTCCGAGGAGTGGTTGGTGGGTTTGAACTGCCAGCCTACTGGTTAGCAGTCAAGTGCCTCAGGCACTACACTACACTAGTGATTGGTTTTTCTATATCCTTAAAGAATGCTGATGGGACCTGGATTGGGATTGCATTGAATGTATAGATTGCTTTGGGTAGTATTGACATTTTCACAATGTTCAATCATCCTATCCACGAGTATATGTTCTTCTATTTATGTAAATCTCTTATGGTTTCTTGGAGTACTGATTTGTAGTTTTCTTTGTACAGGTCTTTTATGTCCCTAGTGAGATTTATTCCCAAGTATTTAATTTTTTTGGTAGCTATGGGAGCTCTGGTGGTGTAGTGCGTAGGGCATTTGACTGCTAACCAGAAGGCTGATGGTTCAAACCCACCAGCCACTCCTCGGAAGGAAGGTGGGGCAATCTACTTCTGTAGAGGTACAGCCCCAGAAACCCAAGGAGGGGTTGCTATGAGTTGAGATCAACTTGACGGCAGTGAGGTTTTTTTTTTTTTTTTTGTATTGTAAATAGTATGGATTTCCTTTTCAGCAATCTCTTTGCTGGTGTATGGGATCCAACTGATTTTTTTATGTTGATCTGTATCCTGCCACTATGCAAATCTCTCAATTAGTTCCAGTAGGTTTTTTGCTTAGTCTGTTGGGCTTTCCATCTATTGCTGTTGTTGTTATGTGCTGTTCAGTCAGACCCAACTCATAGCAACCCCTCCTTGGGTTTCCAAGGCAGTATCACTATGGAAGTAGATTGCTCAACCTTCCTTCTGAGGATAGGATCATATTATCAGCAAACAGGGATAGTTTGACTTCCTTACCAATGTGGATGCCTTTGATTTCCCTTTCTTGCATATTGCCCTGGCTAGGACTTACAATACAATGTTGAATATACGTGGTGATAGAGGGCATCCTTGTCTGGTTCCTGTTTGCAAGGGGAATGGTTTCAGTTTCTCTCCATTGAGAATAATTTTGGCTGTTGGTTTTACATATATGCCCTTTATTATGTTGAGGAATGTCTCTTCTATTCTTAATTTTGCTGAGAGTTTTTATCAGGAGAGGGTGTTGGATTTTATCAAATGCTTTTTCTGCATCAATTGATATGACCATGTGGCTCTTTTCCTTGGTTTTATTTATGTGATGGATGATGTTGATTGTTTTTCTAATGTTGAACCATCCTTGCATACCTGGTATGAACCCCGCTTGGTCATGGTGTATTATTTTCTTGATATGTTGTTGAAGTCTATTGGCTAGGATTTTATTGAAGATTTTAGCATCTATATTCATGAGAGATACTGTTCTGTAGTTTTCCTTTTTAGTGATGTTTTTGCCTGGTTTTGGTATCAAGGTTATGCTTGCTTCATAAATGAATTTGAGAGGAGCCCATCCTTTTCTATGTTCTGGAATACTCTCAGTAGGATTGGTGTCAGTTCTTCTCTGAACATTCAGTAGAATTCTCCAATGAAACCATCTGGGCCAGAGCTTTTTTTTGTTGTTGTTGTTGGTAATTTTTTGATGAGCTGTCCATTTCTTCTTTTGTTATGGGTCTGTTTAAATTTTCCACCTCAACCTCTTATTTTAGGTAAGTAGTGTGTTTCTAGAAATCTGTCCTTTTTTCTGTTGGTTCTGTTGTGGTGTCACCCAATTCACTTCTTATTCATGTTAGTTGTATTCTCTCCCTCTTTTCCTCTGTTAAATTTGCCAGTGGTTTGTCAATTTTGTTAATCTTTTCAAAGAACCAACTTTTAGTATTGTTTACATTTTCTATTGTCTTTCTATTTCCTATTTCATTGATTTCTGCCCAAATCTTTGTTTCTTTTCTTCTGGTGATTGTAGGCTTTTTTTTTTTTTTTTTTTTTCCCAGCTCTTTTTCTAATTATTGGAGATGTAGGGTTAATGTGCTGATTTTGGCTCTTTTTTCTTTTTTGATATGTGCATTTATTGCTATAAATTGGCCTCTGATCATTGCTTTTGCTATGTCCCAAAGATTTTGGTATGTTTTGTTTTCATTCTCATTTAAGGAATATTTTAATTTTGTTTTTTAATTCTTCTATTACCCAGTCATTTTCTAAGAGGGTATTATTCAGTTTCCATGTGCTTGCTCTTTTTCCATTGATCTTCCTATTTTTGATTTCTAATTTTACAGCATTGTGATCTAAGAAGATGCTTTGCAGTATTTCAATGTTTTTGAATCTATTGAAGCTTGCTTTGTGGCCTAACATATGGTTTGTGACAGTTGGAGCTGTATGTCAACTTGACTGGATCACAATTCTGTGTGGTTTAAGCTGTTGTGATGTGGTTTTTCCCATGATGGGATCAGATGATTATGTTTTGAGCAGCCAATCTGTTGAAAGGGAGTTTCCCTAGGGGTGTGGCCTTGCTTCCAGTATATCTGTGGACATCCTGGGAAAAGAGACATTCTTCTGTGGATCGGGATTCTGTTGTGCTGACTACAACTGTTTGTGAGTGAACAATCCACCATTCAGCCTGGAGATCTTGGACTTGTCATTCATTGGAGTCAACAGCCGGTGTACTGCCTGCCAGCCTTGAGCTCCTCAGCCCCTGCAGCTGCAAGAGTCAGGAAAAGCTTGACGTGGAAAAGCCTCCAGCTTGATGTTTGATCCAGGAACTTTGGACTTGCCAGCTTCTATAAGTGTGTGAGCCATTTTCCTAAGATAAATTTCTCTATATATACATATATATAATCTTTACTAGTTTTGTTTCTCTAGAGAACCCAGTCTAGCACATGGTCTATCCTGGAGAATGTTCCGTGTGCACTGTAAAAGAATGTATATTGTGCTGCTGTTGGGTGAGGTGCTGTGTAGATGTCTATAAGGTCAAATTGGTGGATTGTATTGTTTAGTTCTTCTGCATCTTTGTTGAGTTTCCTTCCAGTTGTTCTATCTTTGATTGAGAGTGGTGTATTAAAGTCTCCTACTAGGACGGTGGAGTCATTTATTTGTTTTTTCAGTTCTGTTAGAGTCTGGTTTATGCATTTTGGGGCTCTTTCATTGGGTTCATAGATATTTATTATGGTTATGTCTTCTTGTTCAGTCAGTTCTTTAATCATTGTATAATGTCCTTCCTTGTCTCGGATGGTGGTTTTTGTCTTAAAGTCAATTTGATCTGAAATTAATATTGCCACTCTTGCTCTTTCATGGTTGCCATTTGCTTGATAGATCATTTTTCAACCTTTAATTTTTAGTCTGTTTTTGTCTTTGTCTCTAAGGTATGTCTCTTGTAGACAGCATATTGATGGGTTACATTTTCTTATTGAGTGTGCAACTCTCTGTCTCTTGAATGATGCATTTAATCCACTGATATTCAATGTAATTATCGGCAAGTATGAATTTGTTGCTGTCATTTGGGTATGTGCTTTTTCATTGTGCTGCTGATTTCCTTGTTCCATATAATTTTCTCTGCTGAGCTCATTTTGTTTATGTAGTGTTATCACTTTTTTTTATTTTTATGTGAAGGTTGATCCTTTTTCTTTGAGGTTACCCTGTGATTTATAATTTTTTTCCCAAGTTTAGAACAGTCTATTCTATCTTGCAGTTGTCCTGACTTCCCTATCATTTAGAAGTTCTGTCACTACACAATATTTTCCCTTTTTGGTTTATAGTTGTCCTCAATCATCAGTTGATGTCTCTGGTTCCCTGTTTATAATCCTGTAGGCTTATTTACTTTGGATACTTTCATAGCTGGCTTGGTTTCTGGGTTATGTCATCATGTGTGTTAATGGTCGGTTATTGTTTGCTGCTGTTGGTTGTCTGTCCAAAGGACTTCTTTAGCATCTCTTATAAGGTTGGTCTGCTTTTAACAAATTTCCTTAACTTTTGCTTATCTGGAGATATCCTACTTTCACCATCATATTTGAGGGGCGATTTTGCTGGGTATATAATTCTTGGTTGTAATTTTTTTTTTTCTCTCAGGGTTTTATATATACCATCCCATATTCTTCTTGCCTGCATGGTTTCTGCCAAGAATGCCAAGCTTAGTCTTATTGGTTGCCCCTTGTAGGTAATTTTTCGTTTTTCCTGTGCTGCTTTCAGTATTCTTTCTTTATGTTTGGTTTTGGTGAGTTTGATGATGACATGTCTTGGTGATTTTCTTTTGGGGTCTATCCTGTTTGGGATTTGTTGTACTTCTTGAATAGATATATTCTCAACTTTCATCATACCAGGGCTATTCTCTTCCAACAAATCTTTGACAATTTTTTCTGTGGTCTTATTTGTCTCTACCTGTTCTGGAATTCTGATTACAGGTAGATTACTCCTTTTGATGGTATTCCACATGACCCTTAGGCTTTGTTCATTTTGTTTTAATCTTTTTTTTTTTTTTTTTTTTCCTGATTGATCCCTTTCTAAAGAAGTTTTAGGTATTTTTCTTTAATTTCACTAATTCTGTCTCCCATTGAGTCAATTCTACTCCTTTGCCCATTGAATGTATTATCTAGTTCTGAAAATTTAGTATTAATCTTCTGGATTTCTATCTGTAGATTTTGGGTCATTTCTAATTTTTCATTTATTTTGTTTTTTTGTCCTTGTATTGTCTTTTGAAATTGTTCTATGGATTTCCTCAATTTTTTCAGTGTTTTCCTTGATCTCTCAATCTGTAGAAAGCACCTAAATATAATTCTTCAAAATTCCTTTTCAGGGAGTTCCAATGCTGCTTTTTCCTCAGGGATGTGTTCTGGGTCTGTATCCTGGTCTCTTGTTTCTTCTACTTTACCTTGCTTCTTTGGGTGCCCTGTGATGTTCTGTTGTCTCCAAGATATTGTGACATTGTTGTGTTTACATTTAATTGGTGATTGTATGTTGGAGTGATTCACCCACTTTGGAGTGGTTTTCTTTGTTTGGATGTTATCTAAGTAAGCAGGGTACTATGTGTTTCTCTATTTGCCAGTTGGCAGTACTTATGCACTCACTACCTGCCTCCTTTCCCCTTGTCAGCCTCCTGTATGTCCCTGTGATCCTTTGCAAGTAGTGCCTATTCTTAGGTCCCTAGAAACCGAATGAGAATGCTGTTACTTTAAATATCCAAATCAGCACCCACCTCTTGAAAACATTCAAAATGGCTGCACCCTCGGTCACTTTAAATATCCAAAATGGCTGCTGCTTTTAAATTATCAAAATGGCTGCACCAAAAGTCCACAATTCAGGTTGTCTCCCTCCTTGCTGTTTCCCTTCCTAGTCACAGACCACCAGTGCAGTTGACCCTGCAGCCCTTGTTGACCAGGGCTGATCTTTAGGTCAATTCTCAGTCCCAACACCACTTGGAAATATTAAGGCTGTTGGTGCCATCAGAGATGCTGACAGTCTGCATCTCCAACCATCTCTGTACTCACTGTTTTCATTCAGGTTTTTCCACTAGTCGGTGCCTAATCCACTTCTGTATACTTCCTTTCAAGGCCCAGGGCTCTAGGATTATCTTCTGTTCTATGTCAATTGGTTTCTCTTTTCTTTGTTGAAGAGGGTTTGTGTAGCTTCTGCCTGTTCCACCATCTTACCAGAAGTCTCCCTATCTGATTGTAGTAAGGGTTAGATTTTAAATGACAACTTAAATAAAATACAGGAGCTATGTACTTTTCTCTATATTCTTCTATTTTAAAACTGTGAAGAAATATGAAGACTATAAGAATCTTTTCATCACTTACAATGGAAATAAATTAAATTTCCTAAACATCAATCACCTTTCTAGTAGTGCTCTCCTTTCATCTTGATTATTCTGCACTGTTGCTTCTAATACTGCAATTTCACCCCGTAGGTCATCTGTTTGTTTCTCCAATTCACTGACTCTCCGTTGACTGGACTGCCACTCCTTCTTCACAGTGCCTAAATTTTCATTTAATGCAGTAATCTGCATGGTAAATTTGGCTTCATTTTCTTCATGCTTCTTGATTCCTACTTCTTTTTCTTTTATCTCAGAAAGCTGAGTAAAGAAAAGACAGGGAAAAAAACTTAGGAATGTAGTGTCAAATAAATGTATTTATTGAATTTAAAATATTGGCAGTATAAATAACATTACTTCTTTAGTAAAAGAGGCAGAAGAACACATTGGCTTACACCTACTCCTCCCTCACTTGCTAACTTGGTTAAGTTCCAAAGACCAGATTGTTATGCAAAAATCAGCATTATGCAAAAATGGAGAAGGACCACATCAAATCACAAAAAGGAAGATGACTACATCATTACATAATTGCCAAATTACATCATTACATAGCTGCTGAACCACTGAGAATCATGGCCCAGCCAAGTTGACTCATAACCTTAACCATCACAGTCAGCCATCACAGTCGGTGTTACTCTCACCTCACACCTCAGCTTTCATTACTGCCAGACATACATCATTTATGTGCAAAATAGTCAGATAATAGATTTCATAATATTGTCATAAATGCACAATGTCAGGTAATGAGATAGTAGATAAGTGAGGAGTAGGTATATACACTAATAAATTTATCTCACAAATATCTGTGTAATTTGAGCTGGCTCAAAGAGCATAATGTTGAAATGATGGTTAGCAAGCCTCTTAAAATGTTAAGCTAAATTGAAGCAATTTAATATTTTTCTTTTTTCATCTGAGCAGGGGAAGATACACGTGGTTACGGATACTAAGGCATCCTAGAGATAAAAGCTGGCACTTCCTTATGTCTCCCAACTTCACATGCATTCTTTAGTCTCTACCAAACTGCCAAAAAAATTATACAAACCCTTCAAACCACTGTCTGAACTTGAAACTAACTCTTCAACTAAAGCATTTAGAGGTCGGCTTAACTGGGGATATTCGGACGTAATTCAATAGAGGAAAGCCAGATGCTTCCCTTTGGCACGCACAACTTAAGGAAGGAAAGGCAGACTTTGGTCATCGTAATTCCAAACTGACATTTCCAACCCCCTTTATCCTCGGAAGGAAGATGGGGCAATCTACTTCCATAGTGATACCGCCTCGGAAACCCAAGGAGGGGTCGCTATGAGTTGAGTCCGACTCAACGGCACATAACAATAATAAGAACATTATCAACGCTCACTTTAACTAAATAAATGAGTTTAAAATGATTAGCATTCATGCCATTTACTTCAATCTATATTGTGAGGTTTTTGTGTGTTTTTTTGTTTTATATTTTGTTTCCTTTGTTTTGGGGTTTTGTACTATAAAAATATGTTTTTTCTGAGTTATGTTTCACTCAGATTTTCACTTACATAAACTAAAACCTGATTATAGAGTAAAATATTTCCAATCACATCAACTATTTAAACAAATCAGATCTCCTTTCTTACTCAAAAACTAAAATAGTAGATGGATGTTTCAGTTGTAAGTTCTAAGTAGAAGAATCCCCTCACTGGATCGATTCAGAGCTCTATCATAAGACACATTTTCTACCATTGCCCACTCACCAGTTTCACTTCCTTCTCAGTGAACTGTTTCCTCAACTCATCTTCTTCCTTTTTCACCTGCTCGTTTAGCATTTGCTGGTTTCTCTTCTCTTGTTCAAGAGTGGCCTTCAAGGAATCTACTTTTCCCTGAAGGTCTAATTTCTGCTGAGTCAAAAGTTGCCTGGCATCCTTGAGACTTGTTACCTCCTATTCACAATGTAAAGCCAAAGATAAATCATCTTTACTATTAAAAAATTCCAAATGCAGTTGAAATTTATGTGATTTATCACAATACAATACAAATTTCAGTGACTGCTCATATAAGATCCTTAAAGTTTGGTACTTCAAATAATTAGTTAAAAATATGCAAGATTATTTGCTTCCTGCTCAAGTCATTTAAATTCAGGTGATAGTTGGCTTACATATGCTTTGATTAAATTATGTCAATAATCTCTATCCTCTATTTTCCCTTCCTTCATTAGCACACATTTATTGGTCACCATTCAGGCTAGTTCTGGGGATATAATATAAAGATGAATTATATACATTTCCTGGCTCAAGGAAGTAGCAATCTGGAGGAACTGAATGATCGAGAGATGATTATAGAGCAAAATTATAGAGGAAAATGGTAAGTCTACTGATAGGGGCACAGGAGATTATTTTGAGAACTCTCAGGAGCAAATTTAACCTTTCACTAAGAAAATGAATAATATTTTTACAGAGCAAATACTAAACAACTAGTCTTTAATTGGCACCCTACCTACACTTAAGACAGGTAAAATTTCAAAGCAAGAGATCATTAAAGGATTTTAGGATGAGAAATAGAATCTCTTACAATCTCTTTTCTAAACTCTTACATATTTTTAAGTTTACTATCTATAACCAAATTTTTTCTAAATCAATAACACTATTGATTATCATTTCAACAAATCTAAACTCTTAGGCTTACTTTCATTTATTCAGTCATCTGAAAATAAAAATAGTTTCAATATGCATAGATTCAACACAAGAGCACTCTGGTAACATCTGTCAAAAACAGTAAAACAATGTACCTGATATACAGTCAACTCGCTCCCTCTATACATATTGACTTAATACAATATAAGAGGAAGAACAAATGTTAGCTTAACATACCTTGATGCTTTCTTGCTTGTGACACTTAAGCTCTTCACTGAGTTTAGCAATTTCTTTTTCTTGTCTACATTTAATTTCCTCTATCTCTACCAATTTAGATTTTTCATTTACTAGTTCTTTTTCTATCAGTGACTGTTGAAAAACAATGATGAAAAATAATTTAAAAGCAAATATAAAAATATTTATGATTCTCGCTCTGCCTTTCCATCTAAGTTACCTTGAGCAGATTACTGTCTCTTGCCTCTGTTTCATTATTTGTACAATGTGAACAATAATATTATTATGAAGATTAAATAGTTATAGTTAACACTGCAAAACTCAACAGTGCCTGGCTAGAGTAAGAATGCTATAAAAGTTACCTATAACCATCACTGTTATTCTTACTAATATTTATGAACATTATCTTTATATTAGGCACCTAGTTAGAGTATTATATATTATCTCATTGATTATTAGTTTTTTATTCCCATTTTATAGGCAAAGGAACAAAGATTTAGAGAACTGAAATAATCTAACTAGAGGTAGAGTCAAAACTAAAACAAGGTCTGTCTGACGTGAAGTCCTTACAATTAAACTCCTATAAATTGTAGTTTTGTCAAAATTTTCTAAACTTTAGGCACAAATCTTGAATTTCACTCCATTTTCACCATCTCTACCTCCACCTCCAATAGAACTTCAGGAATTGCACAATTTAGAACACGCCAACAACTTCGGGAACAGTAGAGAATAATAGGAGCCCTGGTCGCACAATGATTAAGCACTCAGCTGCTAAGCAAAATGTCAGCGATTTGAACCCACCAGCTGGTCTGCTGGAGATATTAGCCGTCTGTTTCCATGAAGATTACTGCCTTGGAAACCCTATAGGCAGTTCTGCTCTGTCCTATAGTGTCAGAATGAGTCACAACTGACTCAATAACGGTGGTGGGGTTAGGTTTTTTTTTTTTTGGTCATATAAACCAATGCTTTCAACTTTATAACTCAGTATCTTTATATAAGCATCTATTTCTAAATATACCGTACTTCCCCTTAGAAAAAACTGGTTCTTGATATTAAGAATTCTTGACAAGTATAAAGAATCATTTCTAGACCTTTCATCACTTTATTCACACATCTAGAGGACGACATGCTAACTAAGAGATAGTTCAAGGGCTAGAAGTCTGTTTGTAATTAACCAAAGGTATCTAATGAGAAAACACATTTGTTTGCAAAACTATAAAGAGTGGTAATAAAATAGGTGGAAATGACAAGGAGGCTGTTAAGTACTTCTTAGCATTAAAATTCCAATTATCAAAATGTTTTATCAGAGTGAGAAATCAATCTGAAAGAGCAGTTGAAAATAAAGGTGGTATCTATACTGTGTAAGGGGATGGTCTCTATGACCACTGCACTTGAAGATTCTAGACTTAAGACAGAAAAATAAAGTACCTTTTCTTTCTGAATATCTTGTAGTGCTTTATACTGCTCCTTTAATTGTTGTTCCTTCTTAGCTGAATCCTGCTCCAAAGAAGTCTTGGCAGTCTTCAGTTCTTGAATCAATTTATTCTGGTTTCCAATTTGATTTCTATTTGAAATCAAGTCCTCCTGTGCTAGAGAAAGCTTCTCTTCTATAGACTTACAAAAACAATTTCCTGAAATTATTATATGCTATTTTTCAACAAATTTCAACAGAAACATAATAGCTAATACAAGCACTATGGAAAATATTATACTATAAAAAGAAAGCCCTTCAGAAAGGTCAATTAAAAGAGAAAGAATTCTAGATTATTAACTCTTTTGCAGATACAAAACATATATAGGATAAAATTCAAATCTCTAAGACTGAAACAACTGCAAAACCTTGAGAAATCAATCAGTAAGTATTTCCTGAATGTTTACTATACCTTCCATAATGGCTAGGTGATATGAAGAAATATCAAATACACTCAGAGAACATTAAAAATTAGAGAGAAGACAAGGGGGCCATGAAAGAAAACCATTTTTAAAAAGTTATTATTAAAGGTTATACTTTATGCATACATATATGTCTTACAGGATCTATGATATCTCTTGACATGCTAAGAATTTTCAGTAAGTGATTTTTTGGTCTTCAGGAAAAAAGTTAACTCATTTCTCATACGCCAACCTGGGATCAGGCAAATTAAAAAGAGAGAAGAGCCAGTCAGACAACTGAGGCTCTAATCCTGAGACGGGCATCACCCCATCCCCTAATCCTTCCATGTATACATTTGTCAGTAGTGACCATCAGAGCCCATAGTTACTGACTGTTCTGAGGCTCAAGTATTTTGAGAAGCTGAAGCTGGGCAAAGGGCAAGCTTTCTGACTATCCAGTGACATTTTTAGGCAGATACAGTAACAAGTCGATACTGGGAATGGTAGGAAGTTTGCCACTCTCAGCTGCTACTGCTAAGAATCAGCAGTCAAGGGGACAAACTAAGATGCTCTTCCACCATCTAGAATAATAACTTCATTCATTCTTATTTGGAGACATAGGCAGAAGACACGACTCAGGAAAGGAGCCCTGACAGGTTAGGTTTGTACACTGTAAAGTATTCAATAAAAAATAATTAAAAAAAAAAATTGAATGAAGATCTTATTTAAGGGGCTCCGAACGGGTCATGAAAGAGAAAGTTTGTTCCTTCAAACACCCAATCCATAAGTCTTTCTGATATAAATTAAATTTCAATTCGGAGGCTGCAAGTAGAACACTAAGATACTAAAGCCACCCCCCCCCCACCAAAGAAACACCAAAGTCATCAACTACTTTATTAATCAGTGCTAACCAGTAACTGAGTACATTGTTCTGGTTGACAAAGCCTAGTCCATACAATCTATAACAACTGTAATGAGGTAAGAAAGGTCTCGATATAATACTAAAGAATAACAAAGTTGGAAAGCAATCCTCATCCTTGACCACAAAAATTCCAAAATATCCATTATTTAAGTAACAGCCTACAAAATTTTAAACTCACAAAACTCAGAGGCTAATTCTCCAAAATAAAACTCAAAATCCTGACGCTCCCTAAAGTCTTCTGAAGATGCTGAGACGTACTGCTCTCCCTGCCTCTGACTGTTCATCTGTCACTCAGTGGTCTACTGCTATGCATTTTAAATATTCCTTTCATCATTCTTGTGGCAGATCATGTTATTCTCATCTGCTCAGCAGCTCTTCCTTTGGGGAATTCCCCTCTTCCAGTCCATGGTGTTTGTTTTTTTTTTTTTTTTTGGGGGGGGGTTGCTGTTTTTAACCCATCTACTCCAATCGGATAGGAGCTCTGGTGAGGTAGTGCCTAAGGCATCTGACTGCTAACCAGAAGGTTGGCGGTTCAAATCCACCAGACACTCCTCAGAAGGAAGACTGGGCAATCTACTTCCATAAAGATTTACCACCTCAGAAACCTAAAGGGAGTTGCTAGGAGTTAGAATTGATTCAATGGCAGTGAGTTTGGTTTTTAGTTTACTCCAATCGAAATAGATAAATCCCTGAGAGTGGTTCAACTACCAACCTTAACTCTCATTATGCCAATTACATTATAGTTCCCTAGCTAAAAAAGAATTTCTGCACTGTCCTGTGGTAGCTATAGATTTTTGTCTGCCCAGTGAGTTTTCCATACCTTATTCAAAGTAAAACCTTTAAATTTTTAGTTACTACTCTTTCTTGATGTCTGGTGACATGACAGAGTCATACTAATAGGCTAAGAGTACTCTTACTTAATTCCAAACTTATTATCCTACAATATTCACTTAACTTCTGGTACAAAATTTATAGTTAAATTCTACTTCCACCTCTTCTTAACAACAAAACATAACCAATTTGAAATACCCAGTCAACTAATTTATTTCACAAATAATCCAGCAGATGGTGCTAAAGGCAAAGATCATGCTAGACTGTCTGCCATTCTACTGGTGTCCTTGAGTGCTCACTCAACCCACAGCCTTGACTTAGGTACACAACGCAATGCCACGCAACACACTGAAGGAGTTGCATCTGACTCATAGCAATCCCATCTTGGGTTTCCAAGGCTGTATCACTTCAGAAATAGATTGCCCAACCTTCCCTCCGAGGAGTGGCTGGTGGGTTTGAACCGCCAGCCTCCTAGTTAGGTAGGTAGGCATCATGTTATCAAATGGTGAATCTCTCACTTTCTTTCTTATATATAAGAACATAAGACATCATTGAAGCAAAAGAAAAATAATGGCTGATAACCATCTTTTATTCTGGTCTATAAATATCATTTGAAACTTCCCTAAGAATTCTCTCTCTTTCTCTCCTGCTCTCCCTCCCTCCTTCCCTCCCTCTTCCTAGAAGTAGTTCAAGTACTTCTCATATTGGAACCATTAGTTTAGAATATATCAATCTTCTATTTCATCAAAAATAAAAAAAAATTCCAGTGAACTGGTAGCAAAAAGAATAAAGAATATGAGTGAGAAGAACTGAGATGTAACCATGGTTCTATTATTGTGCAGTAGTGGGCCTGTCCTAATCAAGCTGGGCCTTGGTCTCCTCTAAGGCCTCTTAACAGTTCTAAAACTCTGTAACAGCCTTATCCTGTCTTTTTCTTTTAGCCTGTATTTATATTTAAATTATTCATTCATGAATAAAATTATTACTATATGCTTTAGCTTTCAGACATAATAAAATTTGTGGCTGGCTTAATAAAAGAATATTGCCTATTTGGGTTCAAATCAATCATCTAATGAATGTCTATAAATCAATGTCCTATTATAATGTCACGTTCTTGGGTAAATAACACATCCACATGAATGAAAGAATGTAATTTCTATAATTCTTTTACAATAAATCATTAAGATGCATCTCTTCTATTCTACTTTTCTCTATCCCTACTGCTGTCACCAGTCCAAGTCTTACTCCCTCGTCTCACTACATTCAGCCACACTCCTCCACAATCCATTCTTCATCCGGTAGCCACTCATTTGCCTAAAATACAAATCTGAACACATCTACACTGCCTTTAGGATAGAGTCCAAACTCCTCTAAAACTCTTCCCTGCTTTTCAATAGTATTATAAAATCATAATAATATAATAAAGCCACTTAGAGAAAAAAGCAAATAAAATATTACCTAAATGTCAGATATATTTTGTTGTTACAACAACTCTTGCTAATTCTGGCTTTGCTCATTTCCACTGCAACACCTTTTCTCAAATGTGCTCTGTCTTGAAATGACCTTTCTCAGAATACTCTGTGTATTCAAATTCTATACATCCTGCAGGACCTAGTTAAGTCCTACTTCCTCCAGAGAACTTTACCAATAAAAGCCTATAAATAACACACACACACACATATATATATAACATATATGTTGTTGTTGTTGTTATGTGCCGTCGAGTCGGCCCCGACTCATAGCGACCCCTCCTTGGGTTTCCGAGGCAGTATCACTACGGAAGTAGGATTGCCCAACCTTCCTTCCGAGGAGTGGCTGGTGGGTTTGAACCGCCAGCCGTCTGGTTAGCAGGCAAGTGTCTTAGCCACTATGCTACCAGAGCTCCCATAACATATATAGTATAACATATACAGTGTATTTTAGTCTTTTGTAATTTTCAACAGATTTTTGCAATAATACATGCAAATTAAACAAAACAACAAGCATACATAGGAAAGAAACATGATATTTCACTTTGACATACACCAAAAAAAAAAAAAAGAAGAACTAGCTGAATCTTCTGTAAGAGAATGTTCCATTTCCCTTAGAGAACTGGTACCTCACACTACATAAAAAGTGCTTACCATTTCTCATATCCTTAATTTTAATCAATGTGACACTTTATCTTATCAAATATAGTCAAGGATAAAGTTTCCATGCATGGTTGGATATTTAAGGTAAAGTTTATTTTAAACTAAAATCTCCTGATTTTAATCATCAGGCATTTGGGAAGGAGAGAAATATATACAACTAAAGCCAGTATTGCCTGACAAGCAGTAGTAAAATCGACTTCATTTTCACAAGTGGTTTACATTTAAAATCCTTATATTTTCTCACAGCAGCTGATTTTTTAAAGTTATTTGCACATAAAGACAGTGAATTCCTTATATAAGCCAATATATACCAACCTTTTACAATTAGTAATTCATATATTTCCAATTTATTTTGGTATTATAGATTCAAGTTATTTTAAATATCAAGATTGACATATATATTCTAAGATAAAACAATTTACTATAGAAAGCCTAATATGCCAAAATGCTAATTTAATAGAAAACCATAATATTCCACAAACACTAACATTCTCTTGCCTATTTGGGTTTAAATCAGTCGTTTAATGAATTATCTGTAAACAACTTATTGAGTCTTTTTAGGATCTAGTATGGTTTACTATACCTTAAGATCTTGCCTTGTGGCTAGCAGCTCAGATTCCTTCCCATAGAAATCAGACTGAAGCTGTTTCAGATTTTCCTGACTTTTCCCATAGGTGTTCTGTAGTGCTGATAGTTTCTCTCTCTCTACTGTGAGTTCCTGTGCTGCCTGTGTTAACTGTTGTTGTAGTTTACTCTCAAGCTCTATCTGAAATAGACAATAGTTATTTAAAACATTATGGGCATCAAAAACCAGTTGTAACAAAAAAAATCCACAAACTAAAAAGATTCCTGAGAACATGCTGAACTGCATTTATATCCTAAAATTATTCTACTTTGATAAAGAGTAATTTACTTACCACATAGGGAGCCCTGGTGGTGCAGTGGTTAAGCACTCAGCTGCTAACTGAAAGGTCAGTGCTTTGAACCCACCAGATGCTCCATGGGAGAAAGAGGTGGCAGTCTGCTTCCATAAAGATTTATGGCCTTGGAAACCCTATAGAGCAGTTCTACTGAGTCAAATGGATTTGAAGGGAATGGGTTGGGTCTTTTTTTCACTCACCACATCGTTATAAAGTCAAAGTTGCAAAGTCAAATAAGTTCCAATTTTAAAATCCAAGAATGTCAAAGCAATTAAATAAGTAAATAAAAAAGCAATTCACAGGGGAAGTCCTAAGTATCAAGGACTAAAGAGACTAAGGATAACAATTATGTTCTAATGGAGTAGCAGTACTAGATGACTCAGAAGATGACATCATTTAAGGTTGAACTAAGAGAAACTTCTACATGAAAGATATTTTAAAAATCCACTACTATGTTGAGGCATATAATCTCTACCCTTTAAAATTTAAGAATAAATTAGGAAAATTCTACAAATCACCTTTATTAATATCAAGACAGAAAAAGAGGAGGCCTGATTACTCTATATTCTAGATTTGCACTTAGCCTTTAAGAAGAATCAGGAAATGTGTAAAAATTAGGACATAATTAAAATATGAGTATGCAGACTATAAAAATAAGCAGCTGGCTTTTAAAATAAATATATTACTTCAATGAAACGGCTATTAAGGTCACCAGTAAGCACTATGTTCCAAAATCTAATATTCTTGCCCATGCTCGTATTTGACTTGGCCTCTTAGGAATACTGGATACAGTTGATTATGTTCGCTGATAGAAACATTTTCTCTAACCTGGTTTTTCAGGTAGTTTATGTTTTAGGTTCTCCTCCTACCCCACTGGCTGGTCCCCTGAGTCTTTTACTACCTCAGTTTTTTCTGCTTGATCTCTATATATCATTGGAACCTAAGGTTCTATTCCTGGCCCTTTTATTCTATGTACTCTCTCTCCCTATAAGATCTTATATAGATCCATGGCTTTATATATATATATATTCTATTTAGAACTGACTCCTCAATTTATATCTCTAGCTCCAACCTCTCTGCCTAAACTCTGGGCTCATTATATCCAAGTACATTCCTGATAGTTCCACTTGGATGACTGACAGAATGCTACCTCAAACAGGTTGTCTGATTACTGACAGCACCCTTTTACCTAAGAAAAATAAATTTGAAAACTGTTCCTTCCCAATAAATAGCATCACTATCTAACTTGAATAAGCCACAAACCCATAGTTAGTCTAAATCCCTCTTTCTCTTATCTGTCACCATCTAATCTACCAAGTCTTGATGAGTGACTTGTAAAATTTATTGCTAAATCATTCACTTCTAAACACGTTAACTCATGCCATCATCATGCACTGTCTGGATTACTGTATTAGTTTTTCAATGCAATCCCTGCTTCCTCCTTTAGCCACTTTTAGGCAGATTTCATTTTCTTCAGCTTAAAATTCTCCTATCAATTCTAATTGTCTGTAGAACAAAATACATCATTTTCTGTTATAATCTACAAGGTTGTATGATCTGGCCCCTATTTAGTTCTCTGCACTTATCTAATATTACTCTTTCCCTTTCTCACTACACTCAACTTATACTGGTCTCTTTTCAGAAAATAGTAAACTTGTTCTATTCTCAAGGCCTTTGCACTAGTTGTTCCCTGTGCCTTTTGTATGGCTAACCCTTATAATTTGTGTCTGAGCTCAAGCCTCTTCAAACAGGCTTCTTTGGTACCCCAAACTTTAGCAGAATTCTCCCCCATAACTACCTTTCACATCATCTTGTTTAGGTTCTTTCCCCTGTAAAGCTAAACTCCATTAGAATAAGTCTTTTTCTTTTGTTTCCATTGCTGTATCAACAGTATGGTGAACCATGCATTGGTGCCTAGTAATAGTTCTTTTTTTACTTTTTTATAACCAAAACTTTAATCCCAAGGATTCTCACAAAACACATTGCAAATGACAGCATGAAAAAAAACCTTGCACAATAACTCAAAGTTCAGCTCTACAATGTATCCTTAAACTGACAGGACACTGATAACTTGAAGTCTCAAATTTCCAAATAAATAATGTTACAAATAGTTATCTACTTATATACAGAAGTCACATAAGGAATTTATGACCTAAAACGAAAGTAAAAACTGTGGAAACCTATCAGATTCTACACCAATTGGGCGATTTCTGCACATAAGGAAAACTTAGATGGACTTCAAAAAAAAACCCTCCAACCTAGTTTACCAGTCAGTATTTACCTTTCTTTATCTGCTGGCTTACATTCTCAGCAACTTTTAAAGAGCACTTATTCAACTACAGCTGCATCGTCTATCCCAGCTATGAAAACTAAAGTTCTCAGTTCAATTTTTGTCACTTTTGTTTCCTTTATATTAAAATACCACACTTTAGCTGGGCAAGATTTAGAGGTTTATTATCAGTCTATGCAAGACTAAAGTTCAAACCAAATTCAATTTTGCTTAAGGGGACATTGTAGAGTAATAAATTCTTAGTATTACCATGCCTCATATGATCCATTTCAAACCATAGAGAATTATATCTTCATATGTTACAAGAGACAATAAACAAATTCAAACAGCTAAACATCTTAAAAATGTACCAGGCTTATGATGTCTCAAACAAAACTTGAATTTTCTGTACATACTTCTGTGAAATGAAGTTATTTCCTGTATACCACTACTCCTCTTGCAGAGTGATCTTCTATTTCCTTTCATTAGACCTAGATTGGCTCTGAGACCTAGAGAAGTATCAAGACGGCTTGTGATTTCTGTCCCGAGACAGAAATCTCTCTCTTCTATCTCTAGAAAGGGACCTGCTCCGGCTGTGAGAGAAGCTTCTCCTTGGAGATCTGTGGCCAGGTGGAAGACTTCTTCTACGATAATCATCTTGAGGGCACCAGGCCCAAGAGGGTGGTGGAGCACAATTCCAACTTCTTTTTTCACTATTTGGCAGTTCCACTCTTACATGACAGCCACACAGTGTTCTTCCATCTAGCTCTTGAACAGCATCAGCTGCATCCCGAGGATCTTCAAATTCAACAAAAGCAAAGCCGGGAGGGTTTCTAGCAACCCACACACTTCAGAGTGGGCCATAATATCCCAAAGCCCATCCCAATTCGATCTTGTTGCCATTGTTTTCAAGATTACCTACATAAACCTTACAGTCCAATGGACAGGAATCACAATGCATTTTGAAATCTTAGGTAAGAAACACAGAGGCCTAAAACCACACACTCAAATGGGTCTTCTCGTTTTTCTCCATCCCAGCTCCTACAGATGCTCTCTCTCCTTCAGCATCCATGAAATGGTGCTGGTGCCTGGTAATATTCCTTGAACGAATGAGTGAGTGAATGGTAGATTGGTTAGAAGTGCAAAAGGCAAGAGTTTGGGACACTTATTAAGAATCTATCACAATGACCCAACATTGTCAAACTCACTGCCGTCAAGTCAGATCCCACTCATAGCCACCCCTCCTTGGGTTTCTGAGGCGGTATCACTATAGAAGTAGATTGCCCAATCTTCCTTCCAAGGAGTGGGTGGTGGGTTTGAACCACGAGACTTCTAGTTAGCAGTCAAATGTCTTGATTGCTGCTTCCATTGGTGTGGACTGTAAAATGAAGTAATAGGAAGTCTTTGACAACTTCAATCTTTTCTCCATCTATGATGCTGCTTATTGCTCCAATTGTGAGGATTTTTGTTTTCTTTATGTTGAGGTATAATCCATACTGTAGACTAGTCTCTAATTTTCATCAGTAAGTGCTCTAAGTCATCCTCATTTTCAGCAAGCAAAGTTGTGTCATCTTCATATCGCAGCTTGTTAATAAACCTTCCTCCAATCCTGTTCCCACATTCTTCATATAGTCCAGCTTCTCAGATTATTTCCTCAGCATACATGTTGAATAAGTATAGTGAAAGGACACAACCCTGATGCACCCCTTCTTGATTTTAGACCATGCTCCCCTTGCTGTCTTCGAACAACAGTCCCGTGATCTATGTACAAGTTCCTCGTGAGTAAAATTAAATGTTCTGGAATTCCCATTCTTCTCAAAGTTATCCATAATTTTTATGATGCACACAATTGAATGGCTTTGCACAGACAACAAAACACAAACATCTTTCTGGCATTCTTTGCTTTGAGCCAAGATCCATCTGACATCAGCTATGATATCCCTCTCTCCATGTCCCCTTCTGAATCCAGCTTGCATTTCTGGAAGTTCTCTGTCAATATACTGCTGCAACCATTTTTTAATTACCTTCAGTAAGATTTTACTTGTGTGTGATAACAATGCTATATTGTTTGATAATTTCTACATCCTGTGGGATCACCTTTCTTTGGAATGGGTACAAATACAGATGTCTTCCAGTCAGTTGGCCAGGTACCTCTCTTCCAAGTCTCTTGGCATAGCCAAGTTAGTGCCTCCAGCACAGCATCCATTTGTTGAAACATCTCAATGGGTATTCCATCATTTCCCAGACCCTTGCTTTTTGTCAATTTCTTCAGTGCAGCTTTGACTTCTTCCTTCAATACCACTGATTCTTAATCATATGCCACCCCCTGCAATGGATAATCATCTACCAATTCTTTTTGGTATAGTGACTCTGTGTATTCCATCCATCTTCTTTTGATTCATCATTCAACATAGTGTTAATGGACACTTTCAATATTGCCACTAGAGGCTTAAATTTTTTCCTCAGTTCTTTCAGCTTGAGAAATGCTGAGAGTGTTCTTCCCTTTTGGTTTTCTAACTCCAACTCTTGTTGTTGTTGTTAAGTGCCGTCGAGTCGTTTCCGACTCATAGCGACCCC